ATGTCCTAATCCTGTCGACGATCCGCTCGTTTCTCAGACCTTGGCTGGCTTTAAACGCCTCCTGGCTGGTCCATCTAGGAAAAAGCAGCCTATTGAATCTCATCACGTCAGGGCGCTGATTCGTTCCTATGGTCACCCTCGTGCTTCTCTACCGAACCTACAAATGGTGTCGCTGGTTGCGCTTGGTTTTTGTGCTTTCCTACGTTGATCAGAGCTGCGTGACTTACATAACATAACATAACATAAAACTTTATTTAAACTCGAATTTTAGAGTAGCTAACAAGCTAATATCTTCGAGCTGACACTACATAAAAACTATATAGAAAATATATATATACATTAAATGCAAGGAAAGAAAATATCATTTACTTACGTGCCTGTGACTTAAGGTTTTGCGCCACCCACATGTCTATTTTCCTAGACAGGCGTAAGAACGATCAATTCCGTCAGGGATCTGTGGTTAAAGTTGCTCGTTTACCTTCCAGCTCTTGTCCAGTGAAACTGTTAGAGTTATTCCTTGAGCGCGGAGAGCATCAACCATCTCAGTCTTTATTTTGTCTCTGCCAGAAATTGGGTGCCGGGTACAAGCTGCGACAAGCTGCTCTGTCATATTCTCGGGCACGGGAACAGTTTCGTCAAATGATTTCCGAACTTGGTTTAGACTCGAACGAATTTGGTTTACATAGCCTTCGTTCAGGTGGTGCTTCCCAAGCAGCACGCAGCGGAGTTTCTGGGAGAGTATGGCGTAGACATGGTGGTTGGCGCAGTATCCAAGCCGCAGATGGTTATGTCGATGAATCTTTGGAAAATACCCTTGTGGTATCTAGAAATTTGGCTCTTTAATTTTCAGTATGTGATTTGCTTGATAAACATTGCGCGAGTTGTGTTGTTTGTTGCAGTATGGAGAGATTTACATTTGCCCAATTAATTCTGATGGCTTAACGTTGCTTGATGACACAGAATCCTTGCCGCAGGTGGATATGCTTAACAATTTTTGGACAGTACCCTTATGGTATCCAAGCGATTAGCTATCTATTATACTGTAAATATGTTTGCTTAATGAACATTGCCTTATATTGTATCCTTATATGCTTTTGCCACTGATTGTGAATTGTCTGCTTATCCCGCACCGCATTTCTGGTTGTCAGTTTTTTGGGTGCGGGAATTCAAGAATTGTTCATTTATCTTTGCCTGAATGTAGCGAAGCGTAATGAAACAAAAAGATAAATGGTTTCTTAATTCCCAAGCACAAAATGCATTTGTCGGCAGTGTGTTTTAAGTGCCGGCGTGAGATTATGGGAAGAAAGTGTGATATGTAAACTAGCAAGTATATATTCGCTGAACAGTAAACAAGTTTCATTGTGGATTTTTACAAGCGGACAGTTAAATTTTGTTCTTTTTTATATTTTGGTTGAAATCCTGTAATCCATTTCCTCGTAAAGATTTTAGTTGTGCTTTCCTGATGATTGACAGTCATTATAAGTGGTTTTGTTTATTCAATTTACTTTGGCCGGATCGAACGTATAGAGTTTGTTTAATTTTTTGGTGTCTAAACAGTGTAAACAGTTGTTTTTGTTTTGTGATTAGTTGGTTAGTTCAATAAATGGGCTAAGAATTGTCTGCTTATCCCGCACCGCATTTCTGGTTGTCAGTTTTTTGGGTGCGGGGAATTCAAGAAGCACTTTTGACATGCATGCAATTTCACCTCATAGTAGTTTCAATCTTTTTAAAAACGTAGGCAAAAGATCATGGTAATAGCTCTGGCCAAAAAAGGATTTGAGTATTTAGTATGTATCAAGGCGCTCTTGTTAGCGGTTTTGTAAGCATTCCGGTCTACTTTAACAAATTAGTGAACAATTTTTAAACCACTCGATAGATTTTTAAAAAAAAAATTACGATTCTTCGCGTAATTCAAACTGAGAATTATTCAGCCACTTCTTCATTTTCAGACCCATTGCTGATGCTATCTGCCATATACTGTTCTACGAGCGGAGATGATTCTAGAAAGTTAGGCGGAAATTTATTCTAATCAATTCACGACTGGAAATAGCCCATTGCAGTACAGTGCCCAACAATAAAAAAAAAAACTCATTTTGTGCTAGGCAACCACTGTCTCGTGTGAATGTAACAGTACTGGATTATTACGCCAACTTCAGGTTAAAATAGAAAATATTTATCTCTTCAAAATAATGATTTAAAAAATACGGAAACGTCTTAAAAAACTGGTTTTGCCCAAATTTTCTCTCGCTGCCCAAAAAAATCCGAGTTGCCCAAAATTTGGGGGGGCTGCAGCCCCCCCCCCCCCCGGCCCGTACGCCTATGGAGATGAATCTCATAGTTTATTAGATATAATCCGTGTAAAGTTTGCTTATCGTTTTCGCATAAATTATGACCTAAATTTGGAAACCGCTGAATTTCTCGAATTGGGTCTTTGCGATTTTAGTGAAACTCTGTTCAGCGCAAGGCACTAATGCGCACTATGCGTAGCCGAGAGATTTTCACGAAAAAATGCCGGCAACAGCAGATTTTCGACTCAGACCTCAAAGGGGCGTGGCATTATAACCAAGTGACATTTACTCTGATCGCCAAAAATTTTATGTTATATTGTAGATTGATCTATATGTTATCCATTCTATGTGTTAGAATTACGATAAAAGTAAAGGTGGGGATACCAGAGAGCTTCAAAGTAGGATGGTACCCCCCAAAAAAACTGGGTCGAGTCACCTTAATTTACTCGTTTTACAAAATCTTGCATGCACTAAGCGAAGGCGAGTCACCCGATCACTCGCTTTTTATCAGGTTACACAGTCACCCAACATAGAAGCACGTACAGAATACCCTGAACCATGTGCCTTTCATGAGTTTGTTTTTCCGTGAATTAAAGCTCTTTGTTCGTGAAAAATAATAGAGACCGTTCGTGCAATGGTGTTTTACTAAAAAAACAAATAGGGGGAAACCGCGCTGGACGCAACCAATCATCTAAAATTCATTTAAGTTTTATCTCCCCCGTAAAAAAATATATAAAGGAAAAAGAAAGCTGCTAAGATTTAAAGACTTATAACGAGCAACACGCAACCCCTCTCTGTCTGAAGTACATGGAGGTCGGTAGAGGCATGGGTAACAAGAGTGTCCGTTGTCTTTAACGCGTCCAAATCACTCATTTCATTGTTGATCAAAATCGAAAGCTTTTATGAGGTTTATACTTGGAATAGCCCTTATTTATGGGCTACCAGTGGGAGTCATGTTGGCCTATCCGATTCTTGGAAACGATTATTTTCACAGGCAGAGCTCCGTCCGGCTGTGTTGAATCAACGTAGAAATTCTCGACCGGGATACGGCAAAAAAGAACTCGCATATACTCCATACAATGATGGCTTGATCGGGCTCATCCGATCCGTAGAATAGTTGAAAAGACCGCGCTCGACTTTATTCACCCCGCCTAATACTGTTTTAACCATATTAACAGACAGTTGCAAAATTTAGAATTTTTTTATCGCCTCTGTGAAAATCACTATAAAGTGAAATCTGTCAGCGGTATTAAGCAGATCCCCAATTAAGCGGACACCCTCTATTAAGAGGACACTAAGCCTGGTCCCGAAACGAACGTCTGTTATTTCCCTTTATAAGGAACCCCTATTCAGGGGACACCTCTATTAAGCGGACGCGGACACTAAAATAAGTTGTATTTGGCTAATTTCTATTGTTAAAAACCTCTCCGGCTTCGGACTGAATTGACAATAGTAGTATTGGATTACGTCCTTGAAATACGTGCTGAAGTCAGTTAATGTTTTTGCATTTACAAACAAATTAAAGTTAGTAATCAAATGTAATGAATTTGAACTCTGGATAGCTTCTTTCGTGACAACATGCAACTTTATCACAGTACAGAGTAACCGTTGCCGAATGCTGATCCTCAACAAACATTGCGCAATTTTTACAACCCCTATTAAGCGGACACTTGGGAAGGTGCCGAAGGTGTCCGCTTAATAGAGGTTTCACTGTAGATGACTGCCAGTCTGACGCCCTAATATATTCTTTTTTATGTATGTCTTCTGACCTCTTTGGCAAGTACAAAATACTAAAGAATTCTTACTTTCAAACAAGTCCAGGAAGGCTCATCTATATACATATGAAAGAATGAATAAATAATAGGCCGCCATTATGAAAGAGATCTACTGTATTTCTTGACCAAGAAAAGCACGTCCCAGATTTTCTTTAACTCAATTAGTCTCATTTGATTCCTTTGGTTTAGAATATGAAGAGCAGCTTCCTATTCAGGTTTGCAAAAGCAAAGGTAAAAATCCAAAATGATAAAAACCATGTACAAATAGCATATACTATTTTTATCTCGCTGTCTTTAATTTGGTTCTAGCTTTTTTATTTCGCTGACCTAGTAAAGGGAAAGGAAATAGAAAATAAAAAATGTAAACGGAGTAGAAGACGAAAAACATTAACAGCATGCATATGTATTCCAATATTGTTGTTGTTGTTATTATTATTACTATTACTATCAAATGAATGTCTAGACTTTTTTATTGTTACAGACATCTCCTCCATTCTGTTGTGGTGGTATTCCCAGCATGCACGGGTTTCCAGGCCGTGACGGACGTGATGGCCGAGAAGGACTGAAAGGTGACCCGGGAAGCCCGGGAAACACTGGGCCTCGGGGACCTACTGGTGCAAATGGAAAAGATGGTGCTAAAGGAGAGCCTGGTGTATGGGGCCAACCAGGTCCAAAAGGAGAGCGTGGAAAAGGTCTAATGCCGGCCAATACTTTTATCTTTGGCAAGCAACGACGTCAGCAAGGACAGATATTTCTCCGGATACCTCGTTTTGGAAATCCCGACCAATCCTGACATAAATAGACACAAAAACGAAATAACAATTTCGAAAAAAAAAAAATCCACTGCCACTGTCCCTTTCCTATAAAGGTAGCCAGCTAAAATTTAATGCGAAAGAAAGGCGATACAATGGGAAAAAATCTCACTCTCACTCAAAAGATGGTGGGGAGAAAAAGAGCGAGAGAGAAAGATCGCAATAGAAAATGTCGAAACACAAAAAAAGCTTCCACTGAACCCTCTCTGCTGTCAACTCTTTGCTGCAATGATGGGCAACTGGGTAATAATGGTATTCCTGGTGTAAATGGACTTCCGGGATCCACTGGGGCACCCGGCCGTGATGGTCGAGATGGAATTAAGGAAGAACAGGGAAGTCCGGGGAAGACTGGGCCTCAGGGACCAACTGGTGCGAAAGGAATGAAGGGAGAATGCTGTATCACAGGTCCTGTCGGTCCCAAAGGAGATCGAGGAAAGAGAGGTGACAGTGGAATCCAAGCAGGGCCACATAACATGTGTTCCCGCTTAAATTGGAAGGAGTGCACGTTTACAAGGGTAGATGGCAAGGAGAGGAGTATAAGTAAGTTGTCAGTTATATTACAGTTGTGTGACAGAATAAAAATGAATAAACTCTTAAATTATAAAGGTCAGACCACTCCTAATTGAGAAACTTTTGCAAAAACCGAAGCCTGACAGCGCGAGAAGTAGGAATTATGCAGTAGGATTTGTTCAATGTGGGTCCGTGTGTTACTGTTGGGATAAATTTAAGTTCGTTTCTTTAAGTCGGTGAATTGTACGAGCAATAATATAAAATCATTTTGCTCTTTTTATAAGTTATGTTAAGCCATATTCAGTTATATTGTAAAAGACCGGTTGCAAGCCTTCTAATCCAGTTTTATACAGATGACTTAGAATCTGATCACGCAAAACTTAAATGCAAAATAGGTTTAATTTTAAGAGAGGTGTGAAGATTGTAAACGTTTGCTCTAGCTCAAGGCCAGGATTCGTGGCCTTTAATATGTAGCTTTATCCAAACTTAAGCGGAGCTCTCCTAGTCAGCGTATATCATCTACAAAAAGCGAAACCTGAATAGATAGTGAACTTGAGTCGGCGATACGGTCAATTGATAAGTTGAAAAGATTCAGGATCTAAATATTTTATTCGAAGTGTTCAGTTAGTTTAAAATGTTTCTGATGATGCTCCTTTATGTGCCACTGTCTGTTTTCCCTATCATCTTTATCAACTATAACTCATTTTATTTTGATAACAATCAACAAGTCACTCGTTCTGTAGCCTGCGTAGCATGGCGGTTTTGTCGAGCCGGGCGCACGAGCGGCCAAGCCGCGAGAAAAATAAAAATCGCCTGCCCGGATTCGTGGCCTTTTCAACTGCCGCCCACTTCAACTCATTTTGACATCCTGTTGACAACTTGTTTGGTTTCGGTTTTTTCAGCCAATCAGAAATAAAGTGTTGACAGCCTAAACACGACACAAAAGCTCGTGATATAATGTAAAACGTGACCTTGGCCGGAATTGGAGTTTGCTTGAACAAACACAGGTTTTTTCTTTGTTGCTATCTCGTGGAAAGGTGACTACGGTGCGTTCTAAACTTGACTGAGTAGATCTTATTTTTGCTGCACTGAAGTCTTACATTTATTTAGAGGTCATGAAATTGGTTTGTTTCATACATAATGAGTAATTATTTCCTGTGGTTAATGCTTCTGTACGTGTTGCTGATTAGAATTTGTTGATCTCAGATGCAGTTGTAAAGCAGTACTAATTTCTTTGAAATCACTGTTAAAGCCTAAAGCTTTTTATTACGTCTAAATAAATATTTTAGCTTCTTTGGTCTTTTCCGACTAAAATGTCTGGATCTGGATAACTACAAACCGAGGCTCAGTTTCTTTGTCCGTGAATGTTTTGACGCTGGGCCCGGCTTTTTAAGTGTTGTTTGCAGGATGTTGTATTTTTACGTATAGCGCGATCTTCACATTTGAGTTGTAGCTTAAACGTAAGCTACACCAAGTATGGAGAATTACGCTGTGGGTCTTTCTTCTACTGTATGCGATTCATCGACCACGATCGCGGACATCGTTAGATGTAGTGCTCTGGAGTGCGTTATTCTCTAACACTGAGTAATAGAGAAAATTGAGGTGGACTTTCTCGAAGCAAATTTACTGTCTCTGTCATAAGATCCATTGCTGTACAGCACAGCGACAACATTTCCGATATCTGGTCGTCTATAGTACTTTTTAGAGGAGAAATTGTGATCATTTCTTCTTTGGCCATAGCAAAGACAGTAAAGATCATGCTCTTGCCAAAACTTGTTGACAAAATTTCCATGACATCTCTCCTTTGAAGAAGACTGTAAATGGCCATTTCCTGTTTAGGCTTCAATACAATTGCCCTGTTTTCCCGTCAAATATTCAAGAACGACGACGCTCCGGTCAACGCTTCTTTGATATTTTGATTTTGTTTTGCGGAGATGATTTGTTCAGTCCCTAGAAACTCTCCCATGGTAGATTACCAAAATATTTGATTGACGAGCAAACATTCTGAACCAATCGGAACGATCCGTACGCTGGCGTACGGACCGACTCAAAAATGCCCCCCGTCCGTGCAGGCGGTTTTTCAAGTTGCTCCCGCCCCAATCTCCTCGCGGTTTCTCTGCCCTTGCCCGCCTTTATTACTTAGCGCGCCCAACCAAAACCACCATGCTACGCAGGCTACTCGTTCTGTTTTCCTTGCGGCAGAGCTGTCAGTTCATGAAGAACTATACACAAACGGCTCTCCATGTCTACTTCGTTGGTAACCCTTGCTTTGCTTCCTGTGACAAGTGCAGCAGCTGTACTCGTTGGTATTTCACATTCAATGGCACTGAGTGTAGCTCTCCTGGTAGAATTGCATGGCGCGTACCATAATGAAACAGCAGCTGACAAAAACCTTCACCATCACCGTCACATTGAAGGACACTGCAATAACATTCACAAGGGAAAAGTGTGAGTGGGATTCTGGGTTGGAAACTGCAATAATGGCCATGCAGTTGCTGACGCATACACAGGGTGGACCACAATGTCCCGGATCTTCATTGAAGAAGTGGCGAGAGCACAACAGTAAGCTTGACTGACCACACATGTCCCCAAAGACGCACCTGATAGCAAAATTGTCTTAGTTCGTGATTTTAAAAACATTTTAAACCCTTGAACACCGCCCCGTTGATCTGTTAAAGTTTAACAAAAAATTTATAAGTAAGAAAGAGAATCAGGAAAAGTTAGAATCTGTAGAATGAACGTACTAATTAAACAATAAAGTTTAAGAAAATCAACTTTGTAGAATTTGTTATTCCAAACAAACTTTTTCACAGGATCGTTAAGTAAAAACTGTTACTTGTATTGGTCTTTCAGGCAGTTTGCGTTCGGTTCTGTTATTGCCAGTTCGCTTCTGCTAATCAGTTTTTAATCAGGAGGCTCTCTGCTACAGCCTGAGAGCCTAATTGTTCAAGGATCTCATGTTAGCGCTAACTGTGGTTTAAAGCTTTATCTCATATTACGACAGGGACGCGCCAAGTATACCATTTCTGATTTATATTTCGGGGTCTCTGCTGACCTTAAGGTTCATTAAAATGTTACAGAGAGGATCGGCATAGTTTTTCTCAGGGGTTTCCAACTTGCGCACTAAGTAAAAGTCAATGTGCCAGTTATTTAAACGGAGTTTAACCGGTGTTTCACAATTAAAACCGCGTCCTAAGCCATTTTCAGTTTCCCGGCCAATGCTTTTGTCTTTGTTAAAACCATTTATCGTGAAAAGTTTTATGAAATCATAATGCGCAGGCTAGAAATGCAATTATTTTCTTAAAATTACTACCCACTAAGGAAAAAATGCCTGTGTACAGAGGTGCAATCGAGTCGAGATCGTGCTAGATGTTAACGAAACCAGTTAATGCGAAATGTACATGGTTGTCTAAAAGTGAGAAGGACTGACTATATAGGAAGTTTAACAAGGAAATTATGCCGAGTTATTTTGTTTGCTGGGATAAAATTAGTATTTACTAACACAGTCAATATTATTCACTTTTAATTTAAACCAGTAATTCATTTAAGAACCATTCAGTCACGTAGCCAAAGTCCAACGGGGACATTCCTAAATCTAATCAAGCAATTTGTTTTACATTCAACTGCATAAAGTTTCTCAAATTTCATATTTTAGCTTTCTGGGCGGTTAGCCGATTCCCGGTATCAATATCTATGTTTTAATGCATTCTACATTCTTATTATCGCATGCCAAAAGAACTGAGAGGCTGACTTATATATAGAGAGGGACCAACGGGTCTGTTTATTGATCTATTGATCCACAGCAATGATTAAATTTCTGTTATTTTAATAAAATTAGCTGATCCGAGATTATATTTGCACAAAATATTTATGTATGGCTGAGGTTGACTAAGTGGGGAACTATGAGCGTTCCAATCCTTACTACTCAAGAACCCTGAAGAAAAAAATCATTGGCTGTAGTTGGTTCTAGGATTCAGGCAAATGAAATGAATAAACGTATAAACTATAGAAGAATTTAATTAATATATAAATGTCAAGTTTACACTTTTCGTGTATGTATCAGTAAAGCCCTTATTTGCCATATAGTAATTGATTTGGTCTTTTTTTTGGAAACATGTTTAAATACTAATACAATGTTTAATTAAAAGCAATTTTCTTAAGTTATGCATGGCTGAGGTTGACTAAGTGGGGAACTATTCAGAGCTTTCCAATCCTTACTACTCAAGAATCCTGAAGAAAAAAAATCGTCGGCTTTAGCTGGTTATAGGATTCAGACAAATGAAATAAAGAAACGTATAAACTAGAAGAATTTGTATAGGTAATAGCTTGATTTGTAGTGATATTTGGCATAAATACCACGAGTGGTATTTCGAAATTGTTCTACGTAATTTCACGAGCAGTCAGGCGAGTGAAATTTGAGACAATTTTGAAATATCACTCGTGGTTTTTATGCCAAATATCACGTACAAATCATGCTATTATTTGTTTATACTACTACCCGCAAAGGTTTTGTAATTTTCACATGTAAATATTTCAAATTAAAGCTGCAATACCACTGCTCTAAGCCAATCAAATTGCAGAAATTTCTCATGTAGTAGTATAAAATAATTAATGTCGTTTACACTTTCCGTGTATGTATAAAGCCCTCATTTGCCATATAGTAATTGATTTAGTCTTGTGTTTGGAAACATGTTTAAATATTAATACAATGTTTAATTAAAAGTAATTTTCTTTATTTATATAGCTACTATGTCTTCAGTTAGTTGCTTGATATAAAGGTACTTGTCCAGCGTACGTATTCACGTGAATTTTTTCCTCCTGATAACCATCAGCCTGTACTGACATCCCTTTGACGCTTAGTGGAAAATTTTCAGGCAAGTTTCTTTTTTATTTTAATCCTTCTTTCTTAAGAGAGTTATGGCTACACATACCGTTACCCCAACACCTCGTGTTTTAATCTTGGGGCACTCTTTTATTCGACGCCCGCGGAAGTTCATTGAACATCAAATCGGTTACCTTGATTTATCCCTACAAATTACGGCTCCCGCTGATATAACTTGGCATGGCATTGGTGGGCGTACAATAGCAAAAACGATCAAATTTGATCTGCACGTAGTTCGATCTACACGCCCCGACATAGTTATCGTTCAGCTTGGTACTACTGATCTACCATTTCACTCGGCTCCTCTACAAGTTGGGTCAGAACTTGAGGACTTCTTTCGGTTGTTGCACGATTCCTACAGGGTAAAATTCGTGTTTGTATCCTAAACTATTCGTCGGCGCCCTGCTACTGCCTTTAACAAAAACGCAGATCTTTTAACACGTTACCTACGGGTTGTCTTAGGACCCATCCCTTACGCGGGATGGGGTCATACGGGTTTTTGGAAGGCTCGTCATGATTTTTTTGTCGCCGATGGCGTTCATTTGAATAGTAAGGGGCAATATAAGCTCTATCGTAGTTTTAGAGAGGCAGTGCTTAAATCTATGCAGCTGTTGTCTAGTGCTGGCATTCAGTAGCGTAGCGTTGATGTTATTCTTTACATTGTTGATCCTCTGGCCATGTAGGCCAGTTCCTTTAATAGTGACTTAAACAATTGTGTTTATGATTGTGTCAGCCTTCGATTATTTGCTTTGTCGTTGCCTCTTGCCTCTTGATTTTGAGCTCGACACTGACTGTACACCATGAGTCGCAGTTTAGTGGCCAGCATCTACTGTGTCAGTTAGCCCCTGACCAGTACACCTGGGATTCTGTGCACTGGGAGCTGTGGCTTAAGGCGGTAATAAATTTTCGTACAAAATCGCAATTTAGCTCGGACAAGATCAATTCTGGGGTTTCTACGCGATCACGGCCTCGCCAGTCTTTTTCCCAAAGAGTCCTGCTGGACATTTCATGCCGGGAGATACTGCGCGGGTTGTAGATTCGACCATGTTTGTTTCAAATGTGGCGCAAAGCACTCCGCAAGCCAGTGCTCCGCCACCCAACAACATCGCGCCCCTTTCTCCAAAGACGGACCAGTTCAGTGCTACGAATTCTACGCAGAAATCCGGCCACTCCCGTAAGGGTGGACAGGCATAATTTTCTTTTAACCGAATACCCCGCTGATTTGAAACACTTTCTAATTTTGGGTTTTTCTTTCGGTTTTCGTATCAGTTGTATCATGTGTATCGTATCTTGTGGGCGAACGGCAGACCTTTGAATCCCGTAATCTAAAAAGCGCACTCGAGAAACCACACGTTGTTTTGTCAGAATTAAACTAGACACCAGGAGGTGTATACTGGGCTGCCATAAAACCTAGACTGGATAGAAATTATGTATTGTATGAAAACGAGAAGTTTACCACAACAGACAGCTGACAGCGTATGAAAGGAAGAAGTAACCCTGTAGTTAATTTGGTCCTGCTAAACGGGCATTCCCGTGCCGGACACCACCCCAACCTACAGGTCTCATTAAACTGATTGAACTGAAACTATAAGTAAATGATGATGATAATTGATGGTCGATACAAAACAAGCTAGGTGGGTGTACCGTGTGGCGCGAAAGTTTTGCGGGAGTTTATTTTTGCGGATTGGGCATTTTTTTCTGTTTCGCGGAAACTAATTTTTGCGACCAGGCGTTATGAAGCAAGAGTGTAGTGTGATTGTGAGATGAAGTGATTTTACTCCTTTTAAACGCCCCCGTGTTATTAATAGTTTCCCTCGTTTGCCAGATGCTGGGGTTAAACATTCGAAGTATTCAATTAAATTAACAACATAAAGAGCAACAGAGAACTTGCTGCGAGATCGGTTTAAAAACTAAAGCTTGTATATAGATTCAAGAAAGTCACGATTTCGTGTAGTGTGTGAGCGAGCCATTGTACTGTAGGATTGAAGCTGTAAAATAAACCCTGATTTTGCTTAAAAATGTTATATCGTGAAGAACGGCAGTACGGCATTCACGACACTAGGACACATTGGTTTTTCTTGCTGAGAATAAATTTCAAAAAGTACCCAGTACCCAGCATTGATAATGTTGTCGTTCTTGTTAAGTACGTGCAATCAGGGTGTAATAGAAATACAGATTTTCAAACAGTACTACGGTATGCGTGCGCTATGTAAAACCAATTCATTGTATACCGTTTTGTTTCTGAATTGAAGAGGCGAGTTGTAATTGAACGGACACGATTTCTTAGTACTGTATTTGTGTTCAGTAAATTTTAGTCAGAGTATATTTACTACTCTGGAGTAAATTTTTGCGGGTGAAAATGAACTCATTCAATTTTTTGAACTAATCATAGAAGGGACGTCTGTACACAGGCTACCGTGTGCATAAGATAAGAGCGTTCATTCCGGAGGTCATATATGGCGCCAGGAATGGGCTCCTGATGGCGCTT